TGAAAATGTAAAAAAAGAGTTCTTGGCTCAATTACATAAATTCATGGCAACTCTTACTGAGTATTCCTTCAGTCAAGAAGGCATTACTGAGTTGTATATTCCCAAATGAAGACTTGAATAATATTGAGTAAGCTCCTCATGACAAAGACTTGTTGTAAAGATTAGAGGCAATCTTATTACATTGGTAGAGATAAATCAAAGACATTGTGAATAATTAAGAATTGGCTATTGAGAATGAGAATGCAGGTCCACTTGATGAGATCTCTTATTGGAGATAAAGAAAAAATAATTTATCGCACATTCATGAATAATTGGAGAAACCAGAGTTGAAAAGAATCATCCAAATATTGAGTGATAGTCAATATGTCTAGAGCTTCAAGGATGTTACTGAGAATATCAAATTGGGATCCAGTTAAGCAGAGGACAACTTAGAAAATCTAAAGATTCTGTATGAACCTTGCAAATAGTTGGAGACAGCTACACCCAAGGAGATCCCAGAATTACTCCCGAATTTGTTATTCAGAGTGAGATATATCTGGGAGAAGTCTAGATACTTTAATACTCCAGAGAGGATTCAAGGATTGATCCATAAAATTTCAAATGAGATTATTAAGAGATGCAAGTCTAGTATCAATATCAATGACATGTTGGATGGTGATGTGGAGAAATGCATTTAAGATTTGAATGATTCAATTGAGTGTGGAGAACAATGGAAGAAGATTTACTAAAGAATGTCAGTTGCAATTGAGAAGATGTCATCATTGACTAAAGGACCTAAATGGGATTTCAATAATTCTATATTTGCTTAAGTTGATGCCTTCATCTCTCGTTGCAAGGAGTTATTGGAAATATGTGAAGGATAATTGCAATTTGCCAGAAAAGGAGCTGGTAGTCACATTCCACAATTTGGAGGCAGCAAAGGTCAAGAGATTGAAGATAATCTTGAATAAATAAAGGATAGTTTTGCTAAGCATTTGAAACCAATCAGAGATATTCGTAAAACTGATAAGGATAAGATATTAGATGTGAAAGCCTCTAAGTGGCATGATGTCTTTAATGCATTTCGTAATGGAGTAAAGGATTTGGATGTTATGTACACCAATATTATTAATAATGCTTTTGAGAGTATGACAACAGTTCAATAAGGAGTTGAATTATTGGAAGCTTTTGATTAATTGGCTAAAAGACAATCGATCAAGAGGGTAGTTCAAAATAAGGCTATAGTAGTCTTAGAATTATTCATCTAAGAAATTGATGCAACAAAACATGAATTCGATAATATTAAGAAACTATAGTATTACCCTTTACAACATGGCTCATTTTCTGG